AGAAATGATCTTTTGGCAAAGCCTTGGGGGGACATAGAACTTCAGGCCAGGGAGGGAGTACTTAAGTTTCAAAAACCTGAGCAAAACATCCACCACTGTCACTTCTATCCCCCTTGTTCACTTGGTTCAGGAGCACTCTGCATATGTGTAGGCAAGAAGTCTTTTGGGTGTCAACTCTCAGGCTGCTGTTCCTGAAACAAAACACAATCTGAGTCTGTTTCATCCTTGGTGGCCAGAAAGTCCTAGCAGCTGCTGATGCATCTTTACCTTCACTCTTAGCTTGGGGGAGAGGGTGGGAAGTGGTGGGAGAGAAAGCAAGAGTGGACAAATCCTAAGGCTATTTGAATAACTGCCATATTCCTAGGAAAGGAAGGGCAAAGAGTGTTCCTTTAGCAGCAACTGTCATTACCAAGAGTGACCTGGAAGCTCCACGGAAACCCTGGTGGGAGATGGGGAAAAGTGCAAAGGAGGTTGACGGTGGGAGAAGGGCATGTTGAGGCTCAGCCTCTGAGCCTCTGGAGAACTACATATGGCCAGCATGGCAGCTAGAACAGCCTCATTTCCACTTCAGCAGCATGCAGTATAATGCACAGGATAAAGACATGATTTGGAGTCACCCATACCTGGGATCAAATCCCAGCCCCACCACTTACTAACTCTTAGAGATGCCAAAGAAACCCAATCAGCTATGATTTATTATTGAGTAGCTACCATATGCCAGAAATTGTATTAATCACTTTAAGTAATACCATTAATCACTTTAAGTAATACCTATTTCAAAAGGCAGTAGATATATATATACATCTATGGTCAACTGATTTCCGACAAGGGTGCCAAGATCATTCAACGAGGAAAGAGTAGTCTTTTCAATAAATGGTGCTTGGACTACTGGGTATCCACGTGCAAAAGAATGAATATGAAACCCCCACCTCACCCCATATATAAAAGTTAATGGAAAATGGATCACAGACCTAAATGTTTAAGAATTAAAACTATAAAACTCTTAGAAGGAAACAGGTATAAATCTTCAGGACCCTGAATGAGACAATGGCTTCTTACTTACGACACCAACAGCATAAGCAACACAAGAAAGTAACAGATAAATATGACTTCATCAAAATGAAAATCTTTAGTGTTTCAAAGAAAAAAAAGACCACCCACAGAATGGGAGAAAACACTTGCAAAATCATAAATCTGATAAGGGTCTAGCATCAGAATACATAAAGCACTTACAATTCAATAATAAAAGACAAATAATCCAATTTAAAAATTGGCAAAAGATTTAAATAGACATTTCTCCAAAGAAGATATTCAAATGGTGAATAAGCGCATGAAAAGATGTTCAACAACATTAATCATTAGGGAAATGCAAATCAAAACTACAATGAGCTACCAATTCACACCCAGCAGGATAGCTATAATAAACAAAACAGAAAATAACAAGGGTTGGTGAGGATATGGAGAAATCAGAAACCTCACAGCTTGCTGGTGGGAATGGTGCAGCCTCTGTGGAAAACAGTTTGGCAGTCCCTCAAGAAGTTAAACATAGTGTTATCATATGACACAGCAATTCCTCTCCTAGGTATATACCCAAGAAACTGAAAACATGTCCACACAAAAACTTGTACATGAATGATCACAGTAGTATTATTCATGAAAACCAAAAAGCAGAAACAACTCATAGGTCCGTCAACGGGTGAATGGATAAATAAAATGGGGCGTATGCATGCAATGAAAAAGTATTTGACAATAAAAGGAACAAAGTACTGATACATGCTACAACATGGATGAAACTTGAAAACATTATGCTAAGTGAAAGAAGCCAGTCAAAAAAAGATCATATACTGTATGATTCCATTTACATGAAATGCTCAGAAAAGGCAAGTCGATAGAGACAGAAAGTAGATTAGTGGTTACTCAGGGCTGGAGAAGATAAGTAGATTGAGGGGAGATGGCTAAAGGTTATGGGACTTCTTTTTTGGGGTGACAAAGATGTTCTAAAATTGATTGTGATGACTGTACAACTCTGTATATACTAAAAACCACTGAACTGTACACTTTATTTATTTTTTGTGAGGAAGATCAGCCCTGAGCTAACATCCATGCCAATCCTCCTCTTTTTGCTGAGGAAGACTGGCCCTCAGCTAACATCTGTGCCAACCTTCCTCACTTTATGTGGGATGCCGCCTCAGCATGGCCCGACAAGTGGTGCGTTGGTATGCTCCCGGGATCCAAACCCGGGCTGTCAGCAGCAGAGTGCGCGCACTTAACCGCTACTCCACGGGGCCAGCCCCTGAACTGTACACTTTAAACGGGTGAACAGTACGGGCTATGACTTATATCTCAACAATCCTAATATGTCCTTTAATTTCTATCAACAGAGGCTAACCAGAGGCTGCAAAATGGAAGGCTACGGGCAGCATTTGGCTTGCAGCAGATGTTTTACAGGGACTAATACAAATCTGAGCAAATATTAAACAACTACCAGCATATAAAATCCAAATTTCTAGTTTTTCTTGAAAATCAGATCTAGCAAGTTCAGTAAAAAATTTTTAGAGCTGGGAAAAAAACATGAATGAAAATTATCTTCAAATGCTTGAAAGGATATTCCTTCAGGGGTCCAAAGTAGAACCAGTACAAGTTACTGGAGTGACTCACTCAAAATGAGGGAAAACTTCTAATACTTGGAACTGCCTTAAATGAAATAGGCTACTTTGGAGAAGTAATATGTTTCTTATCACTAGTATGAAGTACTGATACACACTATAACATAGTTGATCCTTGAAAACACTACGTGAAGTGAAAGAAGCCAACCACGAAAGGTACATATTATACGATTCCAATTGTATGAAATGTCCAGTATAGGCAAATCCATAGAAACAAAAAGTAGGTTAGTTGTTACCATGGGCTGAGGAGAGAGGAGAATTGGGGGTAACTACTAACAGGTATGAGATTTCTTTTTGGGGTAGCAGAAATTTTCTGGAATTAAATAGTGATGATAGTTACACAGCATTGTGAATATTCTAAAAACCACTAAACTGTATACTTTAAAATGGTTAAAATGGTAAATTTTGTGTTATATGAATTTTATCTCAACTTAAAAAGAAAAAGGTAGAGAGGACCAAATGAGATAACCTTGATTAACTGCTCAGGATATTATGATGCACATAGTGATAAATGTTAGTTATCATCATCAACTTCATTTGATGATAAAAAAATGAGACACAGAGAGGGGTTAAGGCTTTTGTTTTTGTCAAAACAAAGACAAAGGCTATGATCAGGCAGAGTTAGGACAGGTCCCCAATCTTGCCTGTCTTTAAAGCTTATAGAACTGTACTAAAAGTTCACAGGTAGTGACAGAAAGCCACAGAAAACACTGGGACCATCTGACTAAGCTAGACACCCAGAATAGGCAGACCACTGGCAGGCCTGGGTCTGCCAACAATGGAACCTGCCTTTCCAAGCACAAATTAGAGGCCAAATGAAGACAGAAGTTTCTCCAAAATTCTGCTCTTAAGACTACTCCAGGAAGAGTTGAGACTAAATTTCCTGCACTCATGGACTTGTCCTTAAAATTTCCTAGCCATTTGTGTGACTAACATCAAACTCAGGATTTCCTGGGTGCTCAGAACCATGCTTAATATACGTGGCCCTCCTTAAAAGTCTCCAGATCTCAGAGGCTCCTGGCTGAGAGGGAGATTTGGAATAAATGATCTCCAAGAAGGCAGATTTCACTGTCAAAGGCTGTATGTGCCTTTGGCCTGCCTAGTTAGATCCTGTCTGCTCAGTGCCATCCTAACCCTAACAACTCACTCAGGGGCAGAGGGAAAAAACATCCAGTTAGTTCCTTGACGGCTTCAAGCAACAGGAAGGCTCACAGAGCCCCCAACTACCCAAACCAAGGGGCTAAACTTTCTTAGGGGAAGAACACTAATATTTACCATGTATAGGGCACTGAATGGTTGGCCTTATACATATCAGAACTCCTTCAGTTCACTAACCACTGTAATGTGTACATTATCCTTATCTTCTTTCCTAGATGTGGAAATAAGACAAGTGATTTGTTTTAGGTCAGTAAACAAAACACAGCTCGCAGATTCAACTCTAGGTTTGTCAGGTTCCATTTCCTTTCTATTACAACAGAATATCCCTACCAGGAGTCTCCTAAGTGTGAGAAATAGCCCTTCCTTAGATTAGAGCAGGAGAGTAGAAGAATTAAGATGTCAGGTTCTGGCAACACACAAACTCAGGCTTGATTACTAACCATACTAATTGTGTGACTCTTGGAAGTCACTTAACCTTATTAAGTCTCAGTCACTTCTGTAAAATATGGTATTACTGGACAATTGTTTTCTGGCTGCTCAATATCCATTTCCCTTTCCTAATAACACCCTGACTTCCTTTTGAGGAATACTACATAATGGTAAAGTACGGACATGTGACTCAGGCTAATCCAGTCTGACATTACCTCCCTAGAACTTGAATCTTGAATAAAGGGAAAAAGAAACCAAACATGGCTAGAGTTTACTTCTTCCAGCAATAGCACCTAAGCAGCTAGTCCTGGCTTCAGGACCATTCCTGTGGTCTACCACTACTGTTCCAGTTCTCTGCAGCCACTCTGGTTCCCAAGCCAGATTTTCTAGCCTTCACACTAAATTTCTGAGCCCCCGACATCCTTCCAATAAATGCCTTCTTATTTACATTAGCCAGTCACTTTGGTGCTAACAACCAATGAACTCCAAATGAAACACTGCCTCATCAGGTTATTGACAGCATAGAGTGGGATACAAAAGATATAAATAGACACTACCTGGTCATTACAAGTAAATTCAATATGGACTGTAAACCAACATATAAGCATGGTCATGTTGTAAATATGGTACAAACGACATGCAAGAAAGATTCCCTCATTGATCACCCCCAGGCCACCTCCTGGCAAAAGTGTTTTATAGCTAGGGTAAAAAGTCTCACATCCTTAATAAAAAGCCACCTTAACATACCTGACATGGGTCTTCACTACCCATTCTACTCCAGAAAATGTCTCAGGAGTTTTCAATCATCTGAAAATGGAGAAGCAAGAGATCAGTCTTTTGAAGAGGAAGTTTTAAAGACACAAAATAAAAGATAGAGATCCTGCATGCAGTTTACACATTACAGGAGAGAGTCATGCAACTTTAAAGAAATTTTAAGTAACGTTTCATTGTGAATATCAATACGGGGGACCTAGAGGGGCTCATCCTTGTACATTTTAAAATAGCTGAGCAGAAAGCTTTACTTTGGGGAGCAGCAGGTCTAAACTAGTCATTGAAATTTTAACAACGTGTCATTTAAGATGTCAGACTTTGTGCCCAGGTTACATTACAGTTCACTTGTGATGGGCAGGATTATTAAGAGTTATGGCTAATTTATGTGGCAGCATATGGTTTTTCTTTTTACAGCTATTTTTATTAAACAAGTTTTGCAAAGTTTTAACATTAAAATTAACAGCTAAAGAATTGTTTATGCAAGTTGCTGTCACAGTTTATGTAAAAGAGAAATATGTGCTATTAAAATCAGACATTTAGGTTACCTTTGGTTTTTTGCGATGCATGTTAGCTTTACACATCCTGATTCTCTTGCGATAATTTTCCTTTAAAAAGGGGGGTATAGAGTGATCTCTTTTCATCAAAACAAGACATAATGCCCTGAAAGCTGACTTCAAACCATGGTTGAAAATTCAGTTATTTACACTTTATCACAATCTACAAATACATTTTTTTGTTGGTGTGTTTTAAAAAGAAAAAAAATGTCCATCATGCACTGCTGCAGGCAGCTTGGCACTTCATACAAGAGGATTTTTCACCCCCGAGCAGTTTAGGTGGCTCCCTTAGGGAAGGCGTGAGAACCTGAGAATTAACATAGAGGAGTGGAAAGAGGGCCAACCAATTCCATCATTTCCCCTCTTGGTCTCTCAAGAGGGAGTTCAGAGCCGGCCTATCATGCCAGATCCTGCCCCAGCCCAGCTGATTTGTTAACAGCATTTCTGGGATTGGAAGGGAAACCCTTAAGGGCACCCAGGGTTTGCTGAATTGTCTTATCAAAGGCAGGCAGTGCTACCCTTTTCCAAGATCACAAAGATGATTTGGTGTCACTCTTAGGGGCACCTAGGGGCTTTACAGAAGGTGCAAACTAGGGTGGCTGGCACTTTCAATATTGAGGCCTATGTATGGAAACCATTCCAACTTTCAGCTTGAGTTTTTCTCTTCGGAAATTAGAGCTTATGATAGGATTGGCTAAAACTGTTTTCAACAACTTCCAGGGGGTGAAAAAGCTTTGGTTATTTTTAAACTAAAACTTAACAACTCCATAAACTTTTTTTTTGGTAAACTTAAAATAAAATCCCCCCCACCACTTTTAAGAATGTCTCCAACTTTTAACAAGCCCATTAACTTTAGAGTTAATTTAAGTTTATTTGAAAGAGAAAACTATTTTATTGTCCACCCAAAAAAATGACAATTCATCACATTTACTTTGATTAAAAAAGGACTAAACTTTATTGACAAACTGCTGCAGACATTTTGACATAAGTTTAAGCTACCTATTTAGGCAGACTTACACATGTAGCATTTAATCTTCCGAGAACAAAATGGGAGGACGGTACAAATCCAATTAGGACTTTAACTTATGTACAAAGTGGATTTTGATTCCTTTTTCATTCAGCTGCAGTGTCCCTTTTTATATCATGCTAGTGTTGAGACATACTTGACTAACTACCTTGGGAACAGTTCAGTATTGACAACCGTCAACTTAAGAAAATCATCAGCTTTTGGCCCCAGTGTCCAAGTGAGCTTTTCATGGAGTGCAGAATCTCAAATGGACAAAATACTTTGTCTTTTTAAATACTGAAACTTTAATTATTAGTACTATTACTGAAAGACTGTTTGTGGCTAAAAACCTCTGCATCAAATTCAACTCAGGTGGCCAGCCCCTCTCCCCCAATCAACCTCTTCAAAACCTACTCCCTGCTAAGTATCTCTCAACACTGTATGTCTGGGGCTAGATTTCAAAACCCACATAATGAAGAAGTTCAGTTTTACAAACCTAATTTTGTTGTTGTTGTTTTTAAATCAATTAACGTTAAAAATTGCATCAACTATTTAATTCATGAGGATCTTTCATATTAAAATTTAACCTTAAGATTCAACCGCCATGTGCTTTTAAAGGAAACATTTTTAGAGACGTCTGAGCTCACTTTTACACGGTGGCACCTACTGCCGTTAACGTTTGTGATTTTAAATCTTACACAGCCCTGAATTTTGAAATGTAGCCTAGTTTGGGATTCTGCAACTACAACTTTACGGGATGCCTCAAAATCAAAACTAAGATAAAGTTAACAAGCCTTAACTTCAGAACCTTTAAGCAAGCAATGTCACTTTTGAAACTAACAGGTTTGTGGTTTTTTTTTTTTACTCAACTTCTTTTTTTATTATAAAAGGTACATTTCTGTTTATATTTAAACAACAAAGAAAAAAGCATCTACACACTTAAAAAAGTAATTCGATATTCCTAAATCTATTTTAACTCATTTTAAAATACTACATACAGAAGCCAGAATGCAGAGTTAAGAATGGAGTAAGGTGGGGAGAAGAAGGGGACCACGAAGAAAAACACTTAGACAATTACTTGTCTGCTGTGGGTAAAGCAACAGGAATCCTGGGAGATACAAGAAATCAGTAACAACTTTGCTCATAACTGATATTTTCCCCTCATGTTTGTTTTTAATAACGTCCATATGGGTGTTCTCTGTATGCTCCCTTCACTGGCCTAGCTGGAGGGGCCTTCAGCGATGGCCTGGTCCCATTCCAGTCGTCTTGGCCTGTGGAGAAAGCAAGAACAGTTTATAAACCACATGCCAATGGCATTCTGAGAGGAGCAGGGGTAGGTCACCTGGTAAAGATCACCAAAAAACACTGCTTTGCTTCAAGTGTCTTGCCACCTCCCAGGTGGTCCTTGCTTTCCACTCTGCTTGGCCCTCCTGAGCAGCTTAGGGAATTTCCCAACTATAGGGCAGTTTTGAATGGATGGACCGAAGGAAACAGAAAGGGCTTAAAGTAGTCTCTAGCAAAGAGGCTCTCCAAAGGCAACATGATCTATACTCCCGCCCCTAAAACTGGATAAACCCAACACTGTGCTTGAGATAGTCAGGAAACACATCTTGGTAAGGGTCTGCAATGCCTTCTCCTGTTCCCAAAGGAATCTGGCAGAGAGCCTCAGGTAAGGTGACAACATCGGAAGTCTTTCGAATTGGAAGCAGGTAGCTCCCTTCCCATGCAACAGCAAGTCAGGTTTCCCTGAGGAGAAGTAAGCAAGGGCCACATTTCATGAGGCCCCCCCCAGCAGAGCTGGTCCACTGCTCTGGCAGAGGGAAGTAAAATTAAATTTGTTTACAGCACTGATTAGGAGAATGTATTATCTCCTTTCATATGCCAATAGTCCAGAGAAGCCAGACGACATGGCTGACATTCTCGAATGGTTCTCCTTTGTGACAGGAAAAAGCCTGAGGGAGATGATCACTTACTTTTAGAGCTGACCTCTTATGAAAATGAGTTGCTTTATTCATCCCACTCACCCCCATACTTTGCCCATGCCAGTTCATTCCTGAAGTATTTCTCCAGCTGCCTGCATTCACAAACATCTGCCTCCATCCCTATAAGTCTAAAATCCCTATATGGATCTAAAGTCGCAAAGAACCCTATCTAAGCCTGTTTATACCCCTAGTATAATAGATACGTCCATCACTTTCCAAGTGGCTTTTCGGTGCCAAGACGACGGGTTATTTTTCTAATTCTGTTTATAAAAGCAGAAATCAGAACAGATTAACCGTGGCAACATCATACCAGGAGCACAAGGAGCAGCCTGCCCCTTTCAGTCCAGTCTTTTCTCCAGCAAAACAGAAATGCGATTTAGTCAAACACATACAGAGGCCCCATTGTGCTGCCTCATGGATGCAGGGAAATAGCCGGAGGCAATCATACCGTTCTTCTAAATAGTGGCATATGAGCAGTGCAGTGTTACTGATGGCAACTGTCCAGTACCATTTAGCTAGAACTGGTAAAAACTGTCTCCCTGGATAAGCAGCTGATTGGCTATTACATACTGTGCTGAGGAGTTCAGCTCAGCTTGTCTGTCAGTGGGAGGCCCTAAGAAGCTCCCTTTTTCGGCTAGGGGTAACAGGAGACTGTCAACTAGTATCTTAAGATGAACTGTCAATTGCCAAGCCCCTTGCCAAGGATTCTGGAATTCCTTTAGGTATATTGAGAATACCTCACATTTAAAACACTGCTCTCTCTGCATTCACTGCCACATGGCACTCCCTCTGGGGCCCATTAACATGGGGCCATAACTGGCTCTTGAGGACACTCTTGAGCAATGTGTTTTCAACCAAACCTCAGGGAAGGCAGTTTGGTCCTGCTGCCATTCCAGCCTCTAGCTCTCTTTGGATCAAGAACCGAGCTGAGATGTCTCCAGGAGAGTAAAGAGCCTGGTGCAAGTACTGCACTGAATTGGCTCCAGCCTCTAATCTGAGCCTAATAGATACTCTTCTTGCCCATAACTGGCTCTGGCTAGCTACTTGCCATCTAGGTCCCTTTCAGCTAGCATTTCCTCCACATTGAGATTCTTTTCAATGAGATCCAAAGTTGTTTTTTAAAATGAGGTGGGGCAGAAAAGTAGAGTTGGATATGATTGAATTCTTATCCACCAATGTGACCTAGGTATCAGCAGCAAAGGGCCAGCAACGTAACTGAGGCCTAGCCATCTCCTGGCCTAAAGCAGGAAAAAAATCAACATCAGCTTACAAGTCTGCTGCTCCAACCAGGCCAAGCTGGACATGAGCCCTGGTTTAGGACGTGTGCACAGCACCCCTACCTCACTTTAGTAGTTCCTCTTTCTACCGCACACCACAAAATTTACATAAGAGTAGGACTCCTATTGTCACATCTAGCAACATCTTGGTCTTCTAAACGTTTCCTCTTAGGTGTGTGATTGTCTGACACCCAATAACCCAGTCACCAGCATTACCCCA